TCCCCACAGCATGATGCTGCCACCACCATGCTTCCCTGTAGGGATGGTGTTAGCCTGGTGATGAGCACTGCCTGGTTTTCTCCAAACGTAACGCCTGGCGTTCACTCTAAAGAGTTCAATTTTAGTCTCATCAGACCAGAGAGTTTAGTTTATTATGGTCTGCGAGTTCTTCAGATGCCTTTTGGCAAATTCCAGGCAGGGAGTGTCTTCAGTCTGGCCACTCTAACATACCGGCCTGATTGGTGGATTGCTGTACAGATGGTTGTCCTTCTGTAAGGTTCTCTTCTCTCCACAGAAGAATGCTGGAGCTCAGAAACAGTGACCATCAGGGTTTTGATCACCTGCCTGACTATGGCCCTTCTCCCCTGATCACTCAGCTTAGATGGCTGGCCAGCTCTAGGAAGAGTCCTGGTGGTTCAAACATCTTCCACTTAAGGATGATGGAGGCGGCTGTGCTCATTGGAACTTTCAGAGCAGCAGAAATGTTTCAGTAACCTTCCCCAGCCTTGTGCATCGAGACAATCCTGTCTCTGAGGTCTCAAACAATTCCTTTGTCTTCATGCTTGGTTTGTGCTTTGACATGCACTGTTGACCCTGGGCTCTTATATAGACAGGTGTAGCCTTTTCAAATCATGTCCAATCAATTAAATTGACCACAGATGAACTCTAATGAAGCTGCTGAAACATCTCAAGAATGATCAGAGGAAACAAAATGTACCTGAGCTCAAGTTAGAGCTTCACGCCAAAGGCTGTGAATACTGATGTACATGTGATTTTCAGCTTTTTTATTTTTAATTAATTTGCAGCAATTTCAAAAACTCTTTTTCCACATTGTCATTATGGGGGATTGTGTGTAGAATGTTGAGGAAATAAATGAGTTTAATCTATTTTGGAATAAGGCTGTAACATAAACAAATGTGGTAAATGTGAAGCACTATCAATACTTTCCGGATGCGCCGTATAAATGGACTTTCTAAACGTTGTTTATTTCATGTATGATTCTGTTGTCATTTTTTTACTACTACAAATCCCCCCTTTGTCTTACTTCTGGAACGCTCTAACATTGTAAATTAATGTGTGTATTAGTAGTAATAAAATTTGGTTCTTGTGAAGCGCGGCTTTGTTTTACTCCGGTCACCCCTAGATGTTAGCGCCCCCCTTGTGAGTCTTGTTTTGTGGTAGAGTAGCCGTAGTTATTGTAGTTGTATTTGTTGCATGTTTGACGACGCATATGTGTGCGTGCAACCACAAGGTCTTTATCACCAGATTCTTCCAATAATGGCTGCAGTTCGCATGTCGCATCCCATTCGTGCCAAGGCATGGGACATGAAAACGTTGCTGGGCAAGTATGTGAATGTACTTGTGTAGTGAATGTAGTGGTCTGAAGATAAAACTGCTCCCTTCCCCATCATCATCCAGGGAATTTGTCATGCATTTCGGCAGTGTCCTCAGGCGGAAATCCCAGACTGGGATGCTGTGACTCACTCATGTCTGGATCCCGATGTGGCGCTGTCAGCCGTAGCCCATTTCCAAACACTAAGTGTGTCGTGCAGATTTACCCCATGGCCGTGTGCTTGATAAATCCAGAATCGTAGAGTGTTAAGGATAAAAATGGCAAAACTGCCCTGCGGAAAAGACTGGAATTTGCATGCTTGTCTAAATTGGTTGGACTATCAAAAGCTGTGCATTTTACCAGTAAGACTGGTGGGGATGTAACGATGAAAATCTATTTAAATATGATTCAAGATGCATTACAAAATATGAAACAAATGGAGTTTATATGAACCTATCTCTGATTTCTTTCTGTTTTTAGAGAAATGTATGTGGTATTTGGAGTTTGTAGTGTTCATAAGTGAAGTGACTGCTTTGTTTAGAGTGTAATCTAGGCAGGGTTGCCAGGACCAAGAAAATTTTCCACCCCAATCACAATTCAAAACCCCCCCAAAAAGGTTGAAAAGTTGCCAATTATTTTGCTTGTCCAATCAGAATCAGTTGCTGGATTCCTACAAGGGCAATACGCATAATTATGCAGTAAATTTTAATTGTACTGCCTGACTTTCTTCTCGCCAAACAAAAAGTGGGCGCAGCGTTCTGCTTATTTAATGTGCGACCAGCAATTTCTACCTGCTTGCATTTTTTTTGTGGGTTGCCAGATATGCATTCCAGGATCAATGTCCAAGTAATGATTTAGTTTAATTTTTTTATTTAAAACAATTTGGTAGCTAAAAAACAGCTTCAAGTAGCTAAACAACTCGTAACTTCATATTCTTTTCTGGCAAAAGAGCCCAATTTTTACAGCACATGTTAAAGTACTGCCTGACTTTCTGCACAACAGACAAAAAGTGGGCGAATCTGAGTCTGCTCATTTAACAGGGAGTGTGACAGACGATTATTTTGCTTGCATTTTTTGGGGTTGCCAGGTATTCATTCCAGGATCAATGTTCATTAGGTAATGATTTGGTTTAAAAATTGTATTCGCCAGTACTAATAACTTAGTGGTTTAGTCCACGGACATATGCTCACGGCGACCCGAGTTCGATTCCCGGCTCGAGGTCCTAAGCTGATCCTTTCCCTCTCTCTGCTCCCAATGCTTTCCTGTCTGTCCTTCACTGTCCTGTCACATTAAAAAGGCGAAAACCCCTAAAAGATATATGTAAAGAATTGCTTTTGCCTCAAATAATCAATTTGTTAGCTAAAAAGAGCTTCAAATAGCTAAACAACTCGTAACTTCTTGTTTTTTTTTCCCAGTGAAAAACCCCAATTTTTACAGTACATGTACTGCCATGTACTACAAGTACTGCCCTACTTTCTGCACCCAAACAAAAAGTGGGCGTGGCATTCTGCTTGTTTAATGCTTGACAGGAAATTTTTACTTGCTTGCATATATATGACTTTCTGCACACGGAACAAAAAGTAGGCGTGGCGTTCTGCTCATTTAACAGGCAGCTTGACAGACGATTATTTTGCATGCTTCTTTTGGGGGTTGCCAGGTATTCATTCCAGGGTCAATGTTCATTAGGTAATGCTTTGGTTTAAAAATTGTATTCGTCTGCGCCAATAACCTAGTGGTTAAGTCCGCAGACAAATAGCACCAAGGTGTTCACGGTGACCTGAGTTCGATTCCCTGCTCAAGGTCCTATGCTGATCCTTTCCCTCTCTCTGCTCCCAATGCTTTTCTGGCTGTCCTTCACTGTCCTGTCATGTTAAAATGGCGAAAACCTAAAAATAATTATAAAAAAAATAAGAATTATATTCCTCACAAATAAACAATTTGTTAGCTAAAAATAAATTCAAGCAGCTAAAAAACTCGTAACTTAATTTTTAAAATTTTTACAGTACATGTACTGCCATGTACTACAAGTACTGCCTGATTTTCTGCACACTAAACAAAAAGGGGGTGAGGCATTCTGCGCATTTAATGCTTGACAGGAAATTTTTACTTGCTTGCATAGTTTTTTTGAGGTTGCCAGGTATGCACTCCAGGATCAATGTCCAAGTAATGATCCAGTTTTTAAAAAAATTCACAAGAAAGATACAATTTGATAGTATGTATTTAAGTATTTTAAAAACAAAAGAGCCCAATTTTTACACTACATGTTTAAATACTGCCTGATTTTCTGTACCCTAAACAAAAAGTGGGCGTGGCGTTCTGCTCATTTAATGTGCGACAGAAATTTTTGGGTTGCCAGGTATGCATTCCAGGATCAATCCGTTAAGTAACTATTCAAGTTAAAATTTTTCACTTCCAAGAAAGAAACAATTTGGTATCTATAAAACAGCTTTAAGTAGCTTAAAAACTTCAACTTCATATTTTTCCCTTAGCAAAGAGCCCAATTTTGTGGGAAAACCATGACTCTGGCAACACTGAATCCTGGAAACACTCTATCACTGCTGTTCACAAGCGCCACCTGCTGGCAGAGAGTCAATGCATCTCATTCAGCTTCTCTGATGCTTCCTTCATGTTTTAAGTAGTGGGTCAACAATTTCACTAAACTAAAGTCAGATTATTCTGTTATTTTGTTTCACATTATGAATTATACAGTCTAATTTTGTTTAATAACTTCTCATCCCGCATATATTCTCCATCTTTGTTTGGATCATGATTGAAGTAGTGCTTGCTTCTCATTTTAAATGGATAGAGCACTGGCCTTATTTTAATTATATGACTTATCTGTTGAGTTTTACATTAAGATTTGTTATATTTCAGTTTCACAAAGATGGCGATGAGTTTTCATCTATTTTATGCACATGAACTATTGCATTAAATATGAGTAATTAAAATGGCCACATGTGCCTAAATATTAAAAATGTACATAAAAAAACAATAGTTTTTTTTATCCAATAAGAAGAAATGCCCACAAATGACAAAGGAAACACATTTACCGAGTAAAATCCAGCATGAGGATCAAAATTATTTTATTTGACTTTATGCAAGTTCCATTTTGTCATGTATTTGGCACCAGTTTATCAGTGATAATGTAAATGTTTGATTTTTTTTTTTGTATTTTTCTTGTTGGATGGAATTGCTCCATTTGCAAATGTTTTATGCGATTTTTCCAGTTTTGTGCGTAAATCTAGTTTGCATCTTTGGATGGAAACGCTAAATATACATGCAGGACATTTTCATTTAATCTATCATGTCTTCAATCTGTTTTAAATGCAATCGTGAAATAACCATCGTGAGTTCAGTGAATCGTTACATCCCTAATCGTAGCCTTGCAAGTACATAATTCTTGCCCTTTACCAGTTCAGCTTTTTTGCAGGCTAGTTTTACTAAGCTGAGTCCTAATTCTAGCATTTAAAATCAATTAACGTGTCTGATTGTGCTCCTGGAGGGTTATTATCTTACAAAGTTTATCCATAACTCATTTAAACACACCTGAAGCAGCCGATCAGTAAACTCCTGTGAATGTATGGAGCCCAATCACACACACACCTCTGATTTAAGTGTCTTTAAATGATCATCAAGGCTTCAGCATGACCTGCCTGTTCTCCTTTAGGTCCAGTGAGCCGCAGTCCTCAGCACAGCGAGTCTCCGTCTGCAGGACAGATGATGGTGAACGGCCAGAAGCAGAGTCTGAGCGTAGGCCAGAGTCCTGACGGACGGCAGCCCTCTCCTCTCACCAGCCCGCTACTATACGACGCCGGATTCATCCGCGCAGACGACGAGGACGAGGTTCGGAGGAAGGTTTGTCTTTTGGGGAATGAGGATGGAGGGAATCGTACATCTTTATAATGTAGATTTGTATAACTAGCACTTCTTGTGTGTGTTGTAAACCGCTTCAGACAAAAGGGTCTGCTTAATTCCTTCGGCTTAGTCCCTTTATTCATCAGCGGTTGCCACAACGGAATGAACCACCAACTTACCCAGCATATGTTTTACATAGCGGATGCCCTTCCAGCAGTAACCTAGTACTGGGAAACCCATACACACTCATTCAACCACACACTCATACACTACGGCCAAATTAGTTTATTCAATTCACTCTGCCAGTTAGTTTCTCTCTTGAGCACCTCATGCATTTGTTTTTGTTGTGCTGTTTCCGTCTCCTCAGCGGTGCATTTCAAGCACCCTTGTCTAATTCCCCCACTTTAAAGGGCCATGAAACCCCCTCGTTTCACCAGGGTGTTTTCACACCTCTACTTTGGAAAAAGTCAGAAAAGTGGGCGTGTCCAGCTCTGTTTAGGGGGGAGTGTCGGAGGAAGAAAAGACGCATGGTGTGGGAGTGTCTATTTGGGTGCGCTGAATTTCAGAGTCAAAACACACACCCACAACGGACAATGTGACTGTGTTTACATGGACATCTGTAGGCGAACTATTTGCCAAATTATTAAATGTTGGACTTTAACTGCAGTTTGGCTCTTTCATTCAGGGAATTCATTCATGTCCCTCCCGACAAACGAGATATTTGATTCGAGGAACTGCTCTAAGCGTGTATTTTTCATGAAATGTTTGATACCGCATGGTGAATGAGAGAAAAAAAACTCAGCATTTCCCGGAAACTTAGATGCACACGGCAGGTAGTGTCAGAAAGCCGCGTGTGTTATTCCGGTCACAAAATCCTACACGAGGTTATAGTTTAATTGTAACTGTTAGTGCTAACTTGTTTACACTCGGTGCAATAGTTTGTTTGATACGAATAAAATACGAACTGAATAAACAAAGAGCACTGGTCGCTCACTTACCAAATCTGTAGAGACAGGACAATCACCAGCAACTAGAGCTGCGTCTTTATTAAGAGGAGACTACAAGCGAATCCGGATCTCAGCGTTTGCAGATGAGAACAGCTCTCAGGTAAACAATAATCCTCATTAGACACGTAAGTTATTGTTGTCGAGCGTCGCGTACACTGTTAATCCACACGTGACTCCAGCTGAGCTCTCACAGAGAGAAAATGAAAACAAAACTTAACTGCAGCAAACTATAAAAGCAACACTTCACGCTTGTTTTGCCAACACAACGTGGCGTCTCTGCCGTCTACATTCTGACAGTAATGAATATTAATGAAGTTGCACAATAGAGCGCGCTGATTGGTTTGAACCAAGCCTTACTCATGCATTAATGCAGCACACTGTAAGACGTAATAAGACACACTCTGGCACAGTCGTCCAGTCTTCCAACGAATTAATGCTATGGAGAGAAGTGAAAAAGGCTGCTTTGAAAGGTTTTATCGTCACAAGTAGCGCTGGATTTTGCTCAAGTGTCTCTGTGGACGTCTCAGAATAGGAGACCCAGATAAACTCAACCTAAATTCCCGTCTATTTAGGGCAGATTATGTAGCGGCGGAGCGAACGGCTCAGTGAACAGTGAGAGTTTTACTTCTCTCTCTCTCTCTCTCTCTCTGTGTGTGTGCGTGCGTGTGTGTGCGTGCGTGCGTGTGTGTGCGTGCGTGCGTGCGTGTGTGTGTGTGTGTGTGTGTGTGTGTGTGTGTGTGTGTGTGTGTGTGTGTGTCAGATTTGGTTTTGGCATAGATGTCTAGTGTTTTCCTGCTGTCTGTTATAAGTTGCTGGCACATATTTTCAGGATCACATTGCACTGTGTTTTTAAATGAATGTTGTCCTGAGTCTCCTTCTGGCAATAAACACATCACAATATCTTGATTTTAAAACATTCTGCCCAATATACAGTACATGACAAAAGTCTTGTCGTGGATCCCAGTCGTAAAAGCAGCAAATAATAACTTGACTTGTAGTTGATCATTTGGGAAAGTGTCAGAAGGTGGATTTCTCTGATGAATCATCTGCTGATCTGCATCCCAATCATCACCAATACTGCAGAAGACCTACTGGAACCAGCATGGAGCCAAGATTCTCGTAGAAATCAGTCAAGTTTGGTGAAGGAGAAATCATGGTTTGGGGTTGCATTCAGTATGGGGGCATGTAAGAGATCTGCAACATCAACAGCCTGAGGTATCAAGATGCCCATTACATTACAAACAACAGGAGAGGGACAATTCTCCAGAAGGATAGCGCTCCTTCTCATACTTCAGCCTCCACATCAAAGCTCCTGAAAGCAAAGGAGGTCGAGGTGCTCGAGGATTGGCCAGCCCAGTCACCAGACATGAACATTGTTGAGCATGTCTGGGGTAAGATGAAGGAGGCATTGAAGATGAATCCAAAGAATCTTGATGAACTCTGGGAGTCGTGCAGGAATGTTTTTGTTTTGTTTTTCTCAGAGTAACTGAGGCTAAATCTATAAAGGCTCCGACCCATATCTGCAAAGGAAATTTGCATTTAAAGACACACACACAAAAACAGTGCTTTTGCTTCCACCCTAAATAGGACGTGCACAGTGTGATATTATAAATGATGGACGATATTTTGAGTTGAAACGTACACCAAAAACATTTACAGTTTTTATTAATATATTAAGTTAATGGACACGAATTAAAAGCAACAAAACTAATGGCTAATTTAAAAATATATTAATAATATCAACAGTTTTACAATTTAGTTCTAGTAGGTTTTGTGATTTAATTTGATTTTGGGGACTTACAATTTTGTGATTTAAATACATTTTTTCTTTTGTTTGGTAACACTTTGAATTAGTGATTCATTAGTTAATGTTAGTCAGTATATTTACTAACATGAACAAACTATTAGTAATACATTTAGTATGTTATTTATTTATTCATATTCATTAATGTTCGTTTTTTTAAGTAGTGTTAGTTCATGTTGTAGTCACAATTCAACTCACTATGCAGTAACTGATGTACACAAGCACAACTTTAGATGTTAATAATGCATTAGTGATTGTTGATCTATGATTAATAAATGATTTATTCATACTTAATTTTAGTAAATACATTAACTAATGGACCATTATTCTAAAGTGTTGCCATTTAGTTTTATTTAATTAATATTTAATGCAATTCTCCCATTCACAGAGGTTTCCGACTGATAAAGCGTACTTTATTGCCAAAGAGCTGCTGACCACAGAGAGGACGTATCTGAAGGACCTGGAGGTCATCACTGTGGTAAGACTGTACTTTATTGCTTCATTTAGTCATTAAATAGACTCACAATAGTCACAGGATTAATGTTGTGATATGCACATAAACTTATCATAACAACTGTTTAGTTTATAATATATTGCTTCAGGGATTAGAATTTCTTTCATAAAGTGACAGAAGAGAAATCCTTATTGCCTAATTACCATAACTTAAACCTAATTAACCTAGTGAAGCCTTTAAATGTCACTTTAAGCTGTATAGAAGTGTCTTGATGAATATCTAGTCAAATATTATTTACTGTCATCATGGCCAAGATAAAATAAATCAGTTATTTGAAATGAGTTATTAAAACTATTATAATTAGAAATGTGTGTGAGAAATCTTCCTTCAATTAAACAGAAATTGGTGATCAAAAATATTCAGGAGGGCTAATAACTCTGTCTTCCTCTGTAAGTGAAAGTTGTGCTGAAGATAAGCTGTAGTCATTGTTGTGCTGTCTGCCTCCTCCTGTCTGTACGTCTGCTTTGTAATGCGTCTCTTTGATGTGTTACGAGGCTGCGGAAAGAAGCAGCGGGGCGACGCGTTTACACGTCTCATAAATATTTCCTTTTGGCTTCTGGATCTGAGGCTCACGTTATTACAGCTGCATCTGTTCTGCAGTTCAGACACCTTCACCAGCCACAGACGAGAACATGGCTTGGTTTTAGGGTGTTAATAAACAGTGCTGTATTAGATGGTTGCTAAGGTGCTTTATTTGGTTGCTAGGTGTTCTCTACAGTTGCCAGCATGTGGTTGTTAAGTTCTTGTTTGTTTTACAAGGGGTTGCTATGTTTTTTCAGTTGGTTGCTAGAATGTTAATAAACAGTGTTTTGTTTTAGGTGGTTGCTAAGGTGTTTTTCTTGGTTGCTAGGTGTTCTCTAAACTTGCCACCATCTTTCTTTGTGGTTGATAAGTTTTGTATAATTTCTAGGGGGTTGCTGTTTTTTTCAGCTGGTCTATAACTAATCAAGTGTTGATAGATGGTTGATATTTTTATTTGGTTTCTAGGGGGTTCTGGACAATTGATAGCTTGTTGATAGGTGGTTGCTAGGGTGTTCAGGTAACAAGTTAGTTACTTATATACTTTATTGATCCCAAAAAACATTCAGTCATTTAATAGCATGCCTAAATTACTTTATAAATAAATAAATAAATAAATAAATAAATAAATAATACTTTATAAATGAATAATACTTCTTAAAAAATAAATAATATTTCATAAACAAAATAAATAATATTTTATAAAAAAATACTTCAAAAATAAATAATACTTAATAAATAAATTAATAAATATTATTTTATAAATAAATAAATAATACTTCATAAATAAATAAGAAATAATTCATAAATAAATAAAAAAGCATCATAAATAAATAATTCCTCATATATGAATTAATAAATAATATTTTATAAATAAATAATACTTAATAAATAAAAAATAATACTTCATAAATTAATAAATAAATAATATTTTATAAAAAAAATTAATAATTCTTCCTAAATATATA